TTATTACTGTATTATTTGAAACAGAGAAAAAAAAATGTTTCTCAAAGGGCTGGGATAGTGGTCGCCTAGCATGTGTGAGGTCCTGGGTTCAACCCCCAGCATTGCCAAAAAAACAAAAAACAAAGAAGTGCCGACATGGGGTGAATCCCAAGATATTCTCAGAAGTGAAAAACAAATTTTAAATGTAAAATGCCTAACTTTACTTAAAAATGAAAAAAATTAATACTATCTACACTTATTCTAGAAAATCTAGAAATGACAGAGAAGTCGAAAAGGAACAGTTACTCCTGATCCTTTTCAAAGCAATCCAATGTTATGACAAGTGACCTTTGGTCGCCTGCCTGATGCCTTCTGAGAGGGTGCCCCTGGCCAGATTCCATCATGTCCCCAGGGGACCTGGGCCCATCCAGTACCTGTCAGGGCGGTGGCTCTTGAGGAAGCCCAGGTGGCCATTTTGGTCAGACAACCCAGGTTGCTGTGTCAACAGTCAATTAAACACACACACAGACACGCACATGCATGCGTATTAGGTTTGCTGAGTGCCAGAGGGGGTGAGGTCTGGAAAAACGAGCTGCTGTCTCCCTCTGGAGTCACCACTGGCAAAGGTAACCGGCAGGTGGACCACGGTAACCCACTATGGAACAACAGGGCCCTCTGACACAGCCCCTGAGCCTCAGGGTGATGTCTGAGAGCGACACACAGACAGACACAGACATCTGAGAGATGCACCCAGAATTCTGCTGAGAGCCTGGGGAATGCAGAAGGGAGAGAGCGAGCCAGGAAGCCGCCTCAAGGCAGCAAGAGCCAGGACTGTAATTTTCTGTTTTTAGGACTGTAATTTTCATAGAGACAGCAGTTCAAAGAGGTTTCAGGCAGAGGAGCAAAAGGGGAAGCCCATTCCCAGAGCTTAAAGGGCTGCAGTGGGGGAACAGAGCCCAGAGGAAGCCCCAGTCTCAGCATGATCTTCAGCTTGGCCTTGTGAGAGTGGTGGCTTCAAGAAGAGGTCATTGGTTGTCTGTTGCGGGGGTGGGATGTTATCTACTAATTTTGCTTTATTTTTCGTTTTTTTTGTGTGTGCCAGGGATCGAACTCAGGACTGCACTTGAGAGGCAGGTGCAGTGCTGAGCTAAATCCCCAGCCCTATTTTTGCTTTTTTTAAACACTTTTTGTTTTTAACCTCACAAGTAATATACATGTAGCTTTGAATTTTTAAATGTTTATATACTGTACTTGGTAATCAAAGTCCCTCTTCATGCTGTCTTTTCCCCTGAATCACCACTAATGATCGGATGCAAATTCCTCCTTCAAACCATTTTTGTTATGCAGCTTCTAATAAGTGTGTGTATATTTTTAAAATAAAAGTGGATATCCTGTTTCCACTTGCCTTCTTACTTATCAGCATATTTTTAAGGAGACACTAGAGGGTGGGGGTGTAGTGAAAGAGCACAGGCTTAGCATCCAACAGGTCCTTGGCTCAATCCCCAGCTCCCATAAAAAAATACAATTTTTAAATGTAACTAATATTTTTTCCTCTACATGGATCAGCATTGTGCCAAGGAATTTTCATGAATTTTTTTTCCACATACACATCTGAAATTTTCTTCTTTCCTCCCTTCCTTTTTCTCTGTCTTTTTCTGTCTCTCTCTTTCTTGCTTAGTGGTGCTGGGGATGGAATGCCAGGCCTCACATTCCCCCACTGAGCCACAGCCCTCAGGCTCTGCAGTATCTGTGGGTATTGTATGTTTGTGTGTGCATGTGCGTGTGTGCGTGTGTGTGTGTGTGTGTGTGTGTGTGTGTGTGTGTAAATTACTGCCTTAGGGTGGGACACAGTGAGGACAAACTGCAGCCACAGCTGGGATCCCCACCCCCAGAGGAGACCTACAGGGCTACTTCTGGAGCTGCCTGCCCCAGACTGACTTAGGCTAGAACTCTGGTCTTGCAGGAAAAAAATTACCTGTTTCCCAGAACTAAAATGATGCATATTCTAAAAACAGACCAATTCTATAAAATGATAGAAAAATGTTTTTCATTTCCAATTCCAAAGTGGCAATGGACATTTTGCTTATAGTACTAACAGATACTGTTTGTAAAGATCAAATCACAGCATTGCATTTTAAAATTGTTCTCCCAAAGTAACTACATGAAGTCTAATAATGTTCACCAGTGCTCTTTTATACCGCTTTGCTATGATGTGAACATAACTTTCTAATAAAATAAATATATTTTTCCTCTGTCCAGAAGAACCCTGCTTTTTGGACCAACACGCAACACTACACTTTACACTGCATCCCCTAGGGGGACACTGACCACATCACCCCATTCTCTGCATTCCACAGGCTCTCAGCAGACCTCTGTGTGCATCTCTCAGATGTCTGTGTCCAGCTCAGATGTCACCTCGCTGCCCGGAGGTGAGTCTAAGGGCCTCGCCACTCCCTAGGGGGAACATGAGCGCTTAACGTAATCACATGTGCACACATGCAGGGGTGATGTTAAAATATTTAACAAAACTGGACACACGCAGACAAGGTGCAGAAGATTCAAGATGGAACCCTTCCAAAATGAGTTACTGGCAAACAAATTCGGAAAAAAGGTATTAATTTGTGTTAAGGGTTTTCCACACGTGTGTGTATGGTGGGTGAGGGTGCCAGGGATGGAACACGGAGCCTCCCGCATGCCAGGCCAGTGCTCCGTCACTGAGCTCCCTTCCCAGCTGGCGGAAAGCCCTTCAAGACCATTAATTTTTCAGTCAGTGATAAACTGTTGGGGCCATATGCTGGGATGTGGGAACAGAAAGGGAGATAACATTTATTAAGCACCTATACCGTGCAAAACACAGGCACTGATTCAAAAACAATGAATAACAAGAATTGAGTCTACTTTCTACAGCCAGACCACAAAGATAGCCATGATATTAAAGGAGGTCCTTTTCAGTGCTCCTAAAACATATTGCTATGTAGGTAACTAATACTTTATACTTTTTTCTTTGTGTCAGTGTCTGTTGGATAAATGGAGCCTTTTTTTTATTTTCTCGGTACCAGGGATCAAACTCAGGACCTTGCACTTGCCAGGCAGGCGCGGTGCCACTGAGCTACATCCCCAGCCCTTGGAGAGACACTTAAGTCTGTAGACAACTGTTTGCCTGTCTGTACTCAATGCACAGGCTGATGACAGATACATAGTACACAATAAATAATGCAAGGTGACTCATTTATATAATTCATTACCTACCCAAATTGTTTTCAATAAAAGCATGTGGCATAATAATTTAATTTTTTAAAAAATTAAGCTGGGCACGGTGGTACACGCTTGTAATTCCAACACTCTTGAGAGGCTAGGGCAAGAGGACTGAAAGCTCAAGACCAGCTTGGGAGATTTAGCAAGACCTTGTCTCAAAATAAAAAGTAACAAAAGAGCTCAGGATATAGCTCAGGGCAAAGGCCCTGGATTTAATTCCCAGTACAGGAAAATAAAAATACTACTGTGGGCCAGGGATTTAGCTCAGTGGTTCTGCCGCTTGCCCCACAAGTGCAAAGACCTGAGTTCGAGCCCCTGTACCCCAAAAAAAACAACAACAACAAAAAACAATAAAAATACCGTTGTATAATACTATTATAATTATTCTACCTTATTACTGTTTACTGTTGTCACAATCTCTTACTGTTCCTAATTTGTAAATTAATCTTTATCGTACACATGAATGTGCAGGAAGACACGGAATATACAGGGTTAGGTACAACACAGTCTCAAGCATCCTCTGGGAATCTGAGAATATGTCCCTGGCAGACAAGGGTGGACTACTGTGTTTATGCTTAAAGAAATAAGATCTTTACACTTTTCAGGACTCTAATAGTTTCCATTCTATTCTGTTCTGCTTCATTTCATTCATTTCATTTAAAAAATGTTGGATGTCGGGTGGGGGATTTAGCTCAGTGGTTCTGCCACCTGCCTTACAAGTGCAAGGTCCTGAGTTCGATCCCCAGTACCAAAAAAAAATTTTTTTTTTTAATGTTGGATGTGGCCATAAGCAATTGATATGTTCACCATGTTTATGTACATGAATGTGTGTCCCCGTGTTCAAGAAACAAGATCTTTACAAAGTGCAGTGCTCTCTGATGCTTTCTATCTCATTCTGTTCTCTTCCCTTCCCTTCCTTCCTTTCCTTCTCCCTTGCAGTACCTGGGACTGAATTTAGAGCCTTCACACTAAGCTACAGACCCAGCCTTTTAAAAATAAATGAATAAACTAACTCACTCATGTATGTATTTATAGGGTCTGGCTAAATCTCTAAGTTGCCCAGGCTGGGCTGAACTTGTGATTGATCTTCCTGTTTCAGCCTCTCAGAGTGTGAAGATTACAGGTGTCTGTCACCACACTTAACTCTCTTCCATTTCTGAAAATAAGAAAGATAAGGAAAAAAAAAGTTGGGCGAGATTCACCAAGAAGTTTGTACAACTCTACTCTAAGGTAATAAAATGTATTTTAGGGCCAGCGATTAAGCTCAGTGGCACCGTGCCCACCACGCAAGTGCAAGGTTGTGAGTTTGATCCCTGGTACCAAAAAAAAAAAAAAAAAA